ACTAGTACTTTACAGTTACATTTAAAGTGTATTATTTTTATATTGTTTTCTACCTTTCTCACCTAGTCTATAAACCTAAAAGGGTGGACATGAGCATTTTCCTTATATTTTTAATAAAGCCTTTATTTATAATTCACATACCACATAATTCACCTACTTGAATGTACAATTCAGTATTTAGTAAAGTCACCCAGTTAGGCACTGACACCATAATCTACCACATTTTCATCCTCCCTTTAAAAAGAAACCTAGTCATTCTGCATTTCTCCATACCTCCACCTACCCCCCAGCCATAGGAGAACCACTGAATCTACTTTCCGTCTCTATTTTTGGCCTATTCTGGACATGTCGTGCAAATGGAATGATAAGATACATGTTTGTTTGTGTTTTTATAGATCTGTTGGCAGAAATGCATGCGCGATAAGGATGTAAGTGACTTTCAGGTTGATGTGGGTATTTGGGGAGGGGAAGGGTGTTAGCTGCCTGGGGAAATTGAGGCAGGTTTGTGTTTTCAGGTAAGAATGGCTTAGTAGGTTTCTGGAATAGGGCCAGTTAGAACAGTCCCTTAGAATCTGACTTTTTTCCAGTGATAGAAGAATACTGTCTAAAGTGGGACTATTGTTATTGGGTATCATTAAGTTGATTTTGACTCCCGGGGACTCCATGTGACAGAGTCAAACTGCCTTTAGGATTTTCTGGGTTATAATCATTACAGGAGCAGGTCATCAGGTGTTTGTCCGTCACAGCGACTGAGTGGGTTTGAAACACACACCTTTTTGTTAGCAGCTGAGGGCTTACCTGTTGTGCCACCAAGGCTAGCTTACGTGCTCCTAAACTTGTACAGCAATCACTGAGCCGCATGCTGAGGGGCCGACTCAAAGTCAGTATTGTTTCAATCAGAGTGCTTTCTGGCTTTGTAATGAAAGCCTTTGCAGTGGGGGTGGGGCAAGTATTTTACAAAGTGACTGCCTTTGTTTGGATATGTGAAGTACTTTTAATATTTTTCACTTGGTTAATTTGCCTATTTCCTACACTTTGCCCACAACAGAGGTCAGAATGCTTTTATGAACACTTGCCAGTGGGATCACCTTTGCTCTCCATGTAGCTTATCTGTTGCCCCACATCCTGAAAAGGCATTTCCTGTCATCAGAGCTGCAGGAGGCATCTCTCACACAATCATTTGATTATCACCAAAGGAATTGATGTGTCGTGCTTCCTTGAAGCCTGTGTTGGCCCAGTGATTACCCCATTTTCTGATGACAAAGGAATGATCAAGTGTGCGGAGCCAAAGTTTACATGAAGGTTATGGCCATTCTTCCTCTTGTCAAAGTTCAGAAAACTTTTCAGATCAGAAACAAAAACAGCCCCACAAAATCACGCTCCTTTCATTGTTACTGGGTCTTAACTATCATATATGATGACCTTCACTGCTTGTTGAGTTAAGGAAAGAACTGCCCCTTCTTCCGGGGAGTAAATCCACAGGTGACAAATATAGTCTGGGCACCATTGGGCAGTTGTCTGTGGAGCAGACCAGCCGAAAGGAAGCCATGACTGATAGAATTGGGATGGTGGGAAGCGAAGAAACTATGGCTTGCTATTGGCAACCTTGTTGTAGATTGGGAGAACTTAAAGCTCCTTTGTGGCATTATAGGAAAAGCAAAAGAAATCTGGCTTGGGGTGTGTGTGTGTGTGTGTGTGTGTGTGTGTGTGTTTTATCTGAAAAGGGATTCCTTTGGTTGAAGATTTTTTTGTTAAGTCCAATCAACTCTCGAGCGTGGAGATACAGTGACATCCAGGAACTCAGAGAATGACGTTAGGTCTCTTCCTTTTCCTCCCTCCCTCCCTTGCTTGACTCGCCTCTGTGTAGGCTTTCTCCACATGATGGCCTCTGGCAACTCCAGGTTAATAACTTCAACAGAAAAAATAGGAGCTTCTTTTTTTCAGTCGTTCAAGGAAGGTCGTAGGATTGAGTCCCATTGCTTATTTCTGAGCCAGTCATTCTGGTGGGGATGAGCTAGAACAATCCTAATTGATCATCCTGGGACATGCATTTGCTCTGGAGGGAGAGAAGGTGGTTGGCTAGCTCCACTCATGGGAACCTTGGTGGCATAGTGGTTATGAGTTGGGCTGCTAAGAAGTAGGTCTGCAGTTTGAAACCACCAGCCTCCTTTTGGCCGGTGATATTGATTTTCTCCATCATCTCTTCCCACAGAAGTGGATGGTTTAGTTTGTTTGTATTCCATCTGGCAAGGTCCACATCTATCGTCACCATTTTTGTTGTTGAAAAAGTCTTTGTAATGAAGAAGTTCTTGTTCTTTCAGAATTCTATCATGTGATCTTCAGCTTCATTTCTATCACAAGGTTATATTTTCCAACAAATGATCTCTTACTCTTTAATTTCCAACTTTTGCATTCAATCACCAGTAATTATCAATGGATCTTGTTTGCATGTTTGATCAATTTCAGACCAAAAAAGTTGGTAGAATTCTTCAATTTTTCATTACTGACTTTAGTGAATAATAGTTGTATTAATTGGTCTTCCTTGTAGGCATCTAGATATCCTATCACAGATAGCATTGTACTTCAAGATACCTCTTGAGATGTTCTTTTTGGTGAATGTGACACTATTCCTCTTGTATGGTCACCCCTGGTATAGTAAACCATGTGATTGTCTGATTAAAACTGCCAATACCAGTGCATTTCACCTCACTAATACTTAGGACCTTTATCGTTCCATTTCATTTTTTATGCCTTTCCATTTTTTTTAGATTCATAATTCAGACATTTCAAATTTTGATTATAAGGGATGTTTACATGTTTCTTATCATTTTGAGTCATGCCCCATCAGCAAATAAAGGTCGTGAAAGCTTTCCTCCATCCACACCATTTAAGGCCAACTCTCCATTGATGAGGCAGTTCTCCAGTTTTATTTTGAGTGTCTTCCAACCTAAGGGGCCTGTCTTCTGGCACTAGATCAATTCATCTTCCATTGCTATTCATAAGGTTTACAGGGACTCATTTTTCAGAAGTGAACCACCTCTTCCTTATTCCTCGTCCATCTTAGTCTGGAAGTTCCACTGAAATCTGTTCATCATGGATGCTGCTGCTGGTATTTGAAATACTGGTGGCAAAGCTTTCGCCATCATAGCAACATGCAAATCACTGCATTACAGCAAACTGACAGATGACTGGGGAGGGTAATAGGTACACAGATGTCAGTAACAGCTCTCTGCTAAAAACTAATGAGAAAATAGTCATACATGGCCTAAGGGGGCGGACTTTGGTAATCGAGTTTCAGAGCAATGTTGTCAAAAGGAAATCCATTTTTTCCCCTACTGATTTCCATTATAAAGCGGTATATTCCTTAAAGAAAAAAATACATTCTGAGTTGGGTATGTATGGTAAACAAGTATTTATGACAACGACAGATCAGTAAAATATAACAGGCCTTGTAATTTACCAGTAAGAAGTGTCTGCCAGAATTATAGCCACTATCCACCCATTCACTGCTCCCTTGGGTTTCTTTTAGAACTTGGAAGCTGCCTCTGCCCCTCACACCCCCCCCCTTTAGAAAACAACTTCATTTCCTAATTCTTAAGCCACAGATATTTTCTTTCCTATTTGTGGTTGTTCCTTAACTCCCCCTGGAACTCTAAGAGCTTCTCCATCTTTTTACTTACAGCGCGAACTGCAACTCTTATTTCACATTTTGCCAACAGGGAAGCTGTCATTTAGTTTCTGCCACAGAACTTCTGCTTGTATAAAACCAATGACTGCATTAAAGGAATGCATACCTTAGTAACACATACAGAGACTTCTCATATTTTGGGAAAGCAAAGGAAAAGTGAGCTGGAAGGGAAGGAAAGAGGATGGGCAGACAGGTGCAGCCCTCTGTAGGGTCAGGTACACCACCTTCCTGCCTCATAGATGTGTGAATGGAACTGAGGGAAGAGGGAAAGAATAATCCAGATGACCTCCAAGTCACACGCTACAACAAATGAGCAGGAAATAGAATCTAGACTTTGTCCTGCAAGGTTGTCAAATGTGAACAGGAGATTGGTAAATCCAGATGTTTTGGTGAGATTTCTTATACCTTCTAGTTGGGGCTAGGAGGTTGAAGTAGCGAGAAAGAAGCAGTCTCATCCTGGATATAGTTAAACTCTGTATTTCCTCCTTAGTTGCTTCCCACCCCCTCTCTTTTATGTAACGTTCTACCCCAAGTAATAGAATTTATATTTTATGGTTTTGAGACCCAGGCATTTTATCCTAGTGCTGTGTTAGGTTATACAAGCTTGCTTGGGTCTACAGTCAGATGATGCATGTAAAGGGAATTGGCTTGGATGGGAGAAGGGACCAGAGAGTCCTAGGGAAGAGAACTCAAGAGTAGGATTCACCCTTTTCTGATTATTAGGAAACTTCGCCATAAGCTCTTACGTCTAATACCAATCATGCCTGACATGCTCTGAAAATTGTTCTCTTCACTGGCAGTCTTACAGAGAGAAACTACACTGGGGTGGAGAACTAACTGCAGCCTGGCGAGGGGATAGCTTACTGCAGTGCTTCCAGCTGACAGGTTGGCAGGGACAATACCAGGCACAGAACTGAGACACTCAGAATCAGAGAGTTCCTAGATGGCTTTCAGGCCAGTCTTTTCCCATCACTGTGTGAATGAATCCCTGCCATGATATGTAATTATCTAGTTTCTGCTTGAAGAGTCCATAATCCACAGATAATAGTATGTGCTAAAGTGACCTTGCAGTCACATAGGGATGGGGCCACAAGGAACCAAGACTCTGAATCCCCAGACCCAGGTTCTCCACCCCCACCCCTCGCCCCCTCACCCATCCCGTACCCCTCGGTTGTCTCTGAATAAAGGGCAGCCCTTGCTGGTAGAATTATAGAGGAGAGTTTTGTGTTGCTCTGTTCACCCATTACAGCCTGTCTGGGTCCATCGACTTATAATCCTAAACAGTAATGAATCTTTTCATTTTCAACCACAGGGGCTGCCCTACTGGCAGATGCATACCCTGAGAAAATCTTACTTGGCCTTTTGGCTCAGTATGACAGTAGAAAGGATAAGCACACGCCAGAGACCAGAATGAAGGTCGGGGAAGTCCTGATGCGAATTGTCAGAGCATTGGGTAAGTTTCTTTTCTTTCTTTCCTTTTTTTTTTCTTTGGGGCATGGGGGTCCCCTGCTGTAAGATACTCCAGGGCCTGGGTAAGTTTCTTGTCCGTTGGTCTGGGAAGGGGCCGGGGATCAGTATGACTTTGAAACCAAAGCCTGCACACGCGGAGGCTTGTGGTGAAAGTATTAGGTAGCCAGAGGCAGAACTAAGGGTTGTCCCTCCACATGCCAAGGCCTCCCTCTCCCATTACAGGAAGTTGAAAGCTGCTTAAAGCTGGAGGGCTTGCACACATTTAGGTCTTTGAGACATGAAGCTGGTAAACCTGGGTGGGACCCCATCCAGGTCAGGTGGGCTTAATTCAGCCAATGGGGTTAACCAGTACCGATGACCACGCCTCCCAATGGAGGCCCTGAAAAGCCAGAAGTTTTTCTCTCTGGCTCTTTATCCCAGTGGCTGACACCCAGTGCAGCACAGCTGGGCTGCGGTCCTGCGCGTTTGTGCCGCTGCTATCCTCTATAAACTCACTTGGATCACAAACCAGGCTTTGGTGTGAATTCTTAATCACGAGGAGTCAAGGATCGAGGTATATTTCTCCCATGAGAGTGACCTAACGAAAGCATGATGGGGCCAAGTTAGGGGGTTGCAATGCAATTGTCTCTGTTTACCGCTTTAGCACAGATCCAGATGCCAATCTAAGAGATTGGCAGCAATCGTGCCCATTTTCCTACAACTGTTTCTCTCTCCCTCTGGAGCTATTTTGAGACCCTGATTGCCAATGAAGTTGGAATTAGTTGTGAGCGGTGCATTAGCAATCGTGAGGAGAAGAATGTCAGGGGAGGAAAGGTGGTATTAACGCTCATCAAATGTCTGTGTGTCCAATGGTCTGCATTTATAATCACCACGGAGTTTCCCACCACTGGTGTTAGACCCATTTTATAGATGAGGAAACAGTTGGCTTAAAGGCCTCTGGTAATTTGTCCAAGACTCAATCAGTTGTTAAATGGCGGCAACACCAAGAATTGAACCCACTGACTTGAAGGAAGTTGCTCTGCCCTGTGCAAGCGTAGAGTAGTAGGTAGGAGCACAGGCTCTAGTCACACTGCCTGGGTTCAAATCCCAGGCTGCCCCTTCGGAGGTTTGTGATTGTGGGAGCTTCTTAACCTCCTAGTACAGTTCTCCCTCTGCCCTACTGGGTCAATTGTACGTCCAACTCGAGAAGGAGCCTTAAATTAAGGCAAGCCACTCATTCAGATAAGGGCTCAAGGCATACAGTATTTGAGCCAGTCAGCTGCCATGGTGAATTTTGAGAAGTCAGCTATGTTTGGGGGCTGTAGAAAATTCTCACTGTGCGTTTCCTATATCAGATTGCTATGAGACATAACTGTCAGTACTTTGTCAGTACAGGCCGGCATAGCTTTGGTTTCAAAATTGCCCCACTCAGCTGGACTTCTGTCCTTTAAGCTAGATCAGCATCTTATATATCCTTGACTTTTTAGTAATTGTCTTCTGTATCCACTAGCATGTCCCCTAAGGCAAAAAGAGAAGAAATTATCTCAACTTCAGTTTTACTGATTTGTCTACGAGCTATTGTTAAACTGATAAATCTTGGGGAAGATTTTAGAAAACAAACTAGCTTTTTGTCACTTGTGCCAAGAGCACAGAGTGAATTCTTCCTTTTCTTGCATTTTAAAGAACTTAATACGCTTTTTATGTAGCCATGCATCCTTTCTATTGATTGCCCTTCATTTCCCTAATGTCTGGGTAATTCTTCCATCTAAAGAGACAGCACCTAGATCTCCAACCGCTTGCATCCACACTTAAGACTGATACTAAATTTTAAAAAATTTAATTAAATATAAATATAATAATTTTTGTACCTTCTCTTTGAAAAAGGCAATCTTTTTATATCTGCCTTCACCTTAAATTCGATTCTGAAACACACTACAGCAAGTGTACCATTTGAGGAAATTGTTCTCTCAAAGTAGACGTTAAAGTTAAGCTTCAAGTCTCACAGGACCAACTGTAGCCTCTGACTTCTGTTTGCATGTGTCCCTGGGATTGTCAGACCTGAAAAGGAATGTACACTAGGCATGGGTTTCCTTTGTATCCCTTAGCAGACCACTATTGTTGGGGGCTGGACACTGAAAAGGTGTGTTTCTCAATCTTCATCAAAATCATTTCCTGGGTGGGAGTGATAGTGGGGGCAAGATGTTGGGTTGAGTGGGAGAGAAGCCTCACAACATCCTCCTGTAATTAACCCAAACCTCCAAAACAGTCTTCTAGCATTTCAAAGCAAATGCCATCAATTCTCAAAGTTCTAATCTGTGTGTAGACTGCCTTTCCAAGTATCCAGCTGTAAACATAGCCTTAGCTTAACTGCTCGTTTCTAAATTCCCATTACCAAGTTGTTCAGGTACATGGAGGAGGTGGTTTGTTGGAATCCTTTAAGTGAACCTAAAGCCCATTTTATGACATAGCCAGTAGTCTTAGTTGTACTAGGGAGTGGAAATCCTTGTGAACCCTCACTTTGTGAGATCTTCCTAATAAGTACCCTCGTTCCCTTGGCCCAGGCCTTGCTCTCTCCCCACCCCCCACCTCTCCCATCAAGAAGGGTTTGGTGGGAGAACAAGGCCTACAGGTACCAGCTGGGTTCTGTGCTTTCGCTTGGCATCACTTTTTGTTCCCTAAACACACCCTGCCATTAGACAGGAGCCCTTTCTCTCCATTGAAAAAAATCTACATAACACGCACATTGAACCAAGTATGCAGGACACCAATTTTTAAAAGATTATTTTATTGGGGATTCTTACAATTCTTATCACAATCCATACATCCATCCATTGTGTCAAGCACATTTGTACATTTGTTGCCATCATCATTCTCAGGACACCAATTAAAAAAAAATCTTTTTATTGGGAGCTCTTACAGATATAACAATCCATAATTCAATTAGATCACACATCATTGTACAATTGATGCCGCCATCATTTTCAAAACATTTTCTTTCTTGAACTCTTTGATATCAACTCCCCTTGATCCCCTCTCTCCCCTCCCCCCCAGGAAACGTTGTTACTATATTTTATTTATTTATTTAGCTGTATCTTACACCATCCACTGTATCCGTTCACCTGCAATTCTGTTATTCATTCCCCTCAAGTGGGGTTATACAGTCATCATTGCTATCTGCTCCCTATTCCCCCCACCCACCTCCTCTCTTCCTGTACCCTCAGGGAATCATTACTCCCATTTCTATTTCTAAAGGGTTTATCTATCTTGGATTTCATTCACCGAACAATCTTAATTATACAAATGAACATTTGCATGTCTAACAAGATTAATGGGATAAAACTAAGACTGTAATAGTAAGAGGAGGAAGTATTGAAGAACTAGAGGATAGTTATATGTTTCATCAGTACTATGCTGCACCTGGATATGTCATCCCTTCCATGTGGCCCTTCTACGAGGGACTGTCCATTTATCTTGGGTCTCCATTTTGTCCACGCTCCTTCATGTCAATTTTATTGCTTGTTTTTGAATTTCTGATACCTACTCCCATCATACCTCATGATCACACAGGCTGGTGTGCTTCTTCCTTGTGGTGCTTGTCTGCTAGAAGGCCACCTGTTTAACTTAAAGTCTTTAACAACTCAGATGCCATATCTTTTGATAGCTGGGCACCATCAGCTTTCTTCACCACATTTGCTTATGGACCCATTTTATCTTCAGTGATCATGTCTGGAAGGTGAGTATCATACAATGCCACATTACTAGAACAAACTGCTCTTACAGTACACCTATTTTAAGAGCATAACTTATTGTTTTTTTACGTATTTACTAACACATACATCAAGATTTAGAAATTTCGTTTGCCCCCCAATCTTGACCTTCCCCAACAGTAAGCACTGTTCTTGTCATTCACTTAATTAGATCGTTCTTGAATCTCATTTTAAGGAGATCAAATCCACATGTTTCCAGTGAGCAAGTGGTTAGCTCTAGATGTTTGGGTAGATTCAGGTCAAATTTTGGGAGGCCAGAATATTAGCTGTACTGTGTACTTCCTGGTACATAGTGTCTGCTTATCTCACTATTGTGATTGATTGATGGTGTTTCCAGCAGGACAGATCCATTGTAAAATTTCCAAGCAACCTTTCTCTTAGTGATTTAAGAAGTCACTGATGATTGCTATCTAGAGCTGTTATTTCATAGTAGTTACATGTTTTACAGATTAGGAATCTGAGAAGCGAAGAAGGTTATTAACTTGCCTAATCACAGCTAATTTATGGTTGATCTAGACTGTGAATATATGCAGTCTGACTCCAAACCCAACCTTTTCCCCATCCTGAACATTTTTACACATCATTAAACATCTTTTTCTTCTCATCAATACAAGGGGCTCAAAAAGTTTATTTTTCCATTCCATTTTTCCACAAACTTTTTGAAGCCTCCATATATGACTGTTTTCCATCGTCCCTATAATGGTTACATTTGAATGTAAAAAATATTCTAACCAATTAACTTAGAAAGACTGCTTCTGTTTTTCACTACTATGAAATTTTTAAAAATCATTTTATTTGAGTCTCGTACTGCTCTGATCACAATCCATACATCCATCCATTGTGTGGAGCACATTTGTACATTTGTTGCCATCATCATTCTCAAAACATTTTCTTTCTACTTGAGCCTTTGGTGTCAACTTATTTTCCTCCCTCCGCCACCCTCCTACCATAATGAATTTTATTGGAAGGAATATTCTTAGAGCTGAATGTTTGTGTAGATTCATGATAATCTCTTAAGGAAAAATTTCAAAGACTTATTTATTTGTAAAATTGTATGCATATTATAAGGCAATACTGCTGAACTGGCTTCCAAAAAGATTATACCAATTTATATAAGCTGTGTTTGAGACAATTTGTTTGTCTGCATGTATCGGAACAATGGTATGTATTCTGTATATTATCACTTAAATTAATTTTTATCCATCAGATATATGAAGATTGCCATCTTGTTTTTAAT